CTAACTCTTCTCTTATCACTTATCTTATCGTTTATTTCTTACCTCTAGTCTCTAATCATTTATCTCTTATCATTAATATCTTATTATTTATTTCTTATCTCTTGTTTGTAATTATTTATCTCTAATCTCTTATAATTTAGCACCTATCTCTTATCATTTATTTCTAATCTCTCATAATTTATCTCTTACCAATTATGTCTTAGTATTTATCTGATATCACTTATCATTTATTTCTAGTCTCTAATCATTTATCTCTCATCACTAATATCTTATCATTTATTTCTTAGCTCTTGTTTCTAATTATTTATCTCTAATGTCTCATCATTTATCTCTTACCAACTATCAATTTTTTTTTATCTCTTATCAATTATGTTTTGGCATTTATCTTATATCACTTATCATTTATTTCTGGTCTCTAATCATTTTTTTCTTATCATTTTTTGAGTTGGGGCCGAAAGGGACTGCAAAATGATGTGACCCCTCTTTTAAGGTAAGCTTTTTGCACTGAATAACATGGAATAATTTTTAGTTTTTTTAGGTCATTATTTTTTTACTTGACCGTCGAAATCTTCAATTTTTGGTCTTATCGAAAAAATGAAAACGGGGGGCTTATTTGGGGGGTCCCTCAGATGTCCAATCACCTATTGCTTGCCTTTCATGCTGGAACACCCTGTATACGTTGCAATTAGATGTGTTTTTAATGCGACGTTATTCGTGCGGGGTAGGATTTGGCGTGTATCAGTCGAACACCGGGATAATCATTCGCGGCCATTGGGCGGAGGACGCGTTGAACGGACCGGCGGAAATCGTGTTGAAAAACGGCAAAGTCCGGAATAATTTGTATTTCCGGCGCGGTTTCCTGTACGAAACGCCAGCGAGTGCCGGCCCGGTATCGCCGCCGCCGCCGTCGTCGTCGTCGTCGTCGGCTTCTCCGCCAGATTCGCCTTTGGCCTCGCAAAAGACAGCTGCTTCGCAGTTCACCGTGTCTTGTAAGCCCAAAACGACCCGGACTCCGGAAGTGGACCGGAACTCGGCCGATTCGGACAAGATCAAAGCCGCCGGATCTCTGGTACTGATCGCGGCCGATGTGAACATGTACGACGAATCGCACGACCTCGCCGAGCACGTCCGGAAGGCTTGGGACAAGTGCTTGGACACGGTGGTGGCCGATTGCCCGTTAGTGATCAGCAGCCCCGACGGTAACGTTGAACTGGAATCCGTGGGATGCGCGGTGGACTTGCACATGGCCAAAATCAAAAGCCTCTATCATACTTACGCCGTATGCCCCAGGGGATACGATCCGTCGGACGAGCACAACCCGCTGATGATGCGTATCGGCCTGTGGCAAATGCTCAAAGACTACTGTTTCCATACCCGAGTGTCGCTGGCTGAATTCGACGACGTTCTCTGTAAGTAAACGCGTCAGCGCCGGACCGGTCGGCCCTTGGAATATTTTCTTAATTTACAATTATTTTTTTTTTTTATGTACAATAAATATTATCAGGAATTCGAAAAAAATAAGTAAACGAATATAGGTAAAAAAAAAAAAAAATACGTTTATAACATCCGGTAGATGGCCATTTAATTAATAACTGTAGGGCACCGCCCAAATAAAATGCATTTTTTCTAACAAAATAAAATTATCTAATAAATTTGTTGCATTCCTGTTACAATGGGCACTGAAAGTTTAACGCGAGACCGAGTAGTAAACTGCACATAACTGCACAGCAGAAAGTTCCAAGTCCACGAAATTCGTGTATTATCACACTGAAAACTTATTATATGCAGTGTAACTTCCCCCGTTCATAGGGATTTTTTAAAAATAAAAAACAAATTTAAAAAAACTATACACACGGCATAGCAGCCTCGGATGACTTCTAGATTTGAAGGTTAATGATAAATTGTGCATATATTATAGTGAGAAACAAAATAGATTTATTAAATAGGACATTTTTACAATATCATAATTATTGAGGTTAAGTTCTGTGCAAAATTAAAATTTATTTTTTAAAGAGATTATTGTGTCAAACTGACATTTTTGCTGTATAGCCCCTTTCTGCATAAATTAATTATTTTTCTCAAAAAAATGTTTGAAAGGTAAATGAAAATTGAGTTTTTCTAGTTGCATAACATTTAAAGTTTTATTTGTATAATAAGTAATTGCAAAAATTCGATGAAAAAATTCAGAAGTCTTTCTGATGTATTTTATTGAACGGATATTCATTTTTTTTTTTTTTTTTTTGAAGGAACGAATTTTTTTGCTTCATTTCAAGAGCTAAATTTTGTATTTAGTAAATGAGAAAATGAGTTAAATTTGATAGAAAAAACTCCAAACATATTACGCGCTGTAAAAGTATAATTTAAATTCAGTGTCGCCAGAATAGGACAGCTACCCCCCCCCCCCCACAGTAAAATTTAAGGGGACTAACATGTAAGTCGATGTTGAGTACAATGTGTTTTGAACAATAAACAACCCTATTTTATTATTTGTATCAATAAAAATAATAAAACATTTGAAAAATACAAACATGCTATACATTCAACGGCCAACACGTCATGTATGTTAATATTGTTTATATTCCAACGAATACAGATGAAAACAAAAAATATCTATACAAATCGGCACACGACCCCTTCGAGCCGATTTACTTCTGGCAGTTTTTACACGCCATTTGTGAACTGGCCAACATGGTTCACCGGACAAGAGACCGCGAAGAAGAATCGTGTATTGGAATAATGGCATCAGCATTGCACAAGCTTCTCGCGGTAGATATGAAAAACGATTTTGCTCCACGATATGGTAAGAATAATTCCCAAAATAGAAATTAGTTTAAAGTCAATGATTTTCGGGCACATGAGACGTTATTAACATTATAACTTACCTCAAGTTACAGTAGTGTATGTAACAAGATAAGGCTGCGTGAATCAAGTTACAAGATTTAAAACACTAATTGTATTATATTACTTAGTTTAATATATTTTTTTCTAGAAGGCGTTTTATTATTTTTCAACTTAACTGACTGACATTTATTTTTAAATACAAATTTGAGGAAGTGACACATTTGTGTAGAGTTTAGATTTCAGCAAAAAAAAAGTCTCAAGCTTTATCATTAATAAACACAAAATATAGTACGCTGAAATGAAAAAGTTTTAAACGACTAACTATTTGATTTCAGTATTTTTGCAAAAAAAATTGTGTAAAATCTAAAAATAAAAGTTTAAATTTTTTCGATTTTGCGTAAAACGTGACTTATGCCACTTAGTGGCGTACTCTGCTTACCTAAAGGCTGATATAATTGTCTCGTTGTTAGGCGGCACTTGGATAAACAACCGGAACACCTTGGTCGTCATGTACAACGTGTTCAAAGCCATGTTTGGCGAAAGCTTACCCACGGGACACGAGCTGATGCTGTTGTTCTGTCCGAAACGCAGAGACGACGGCCAACCGGACACTGTGCTCGCAAGCGTGCTGAACGTCATGGAAAAACTTAGGGAACGGGCGGAAGGCCCGCCGGCGACCGCTTCTGCTGTGACGGGTTCGGTCAAAGCGTTGAAGTGCACTTCGCTGGGTGTGATCGAACACTTGCTGTCGGCGTGTCCGAAAATGTTCAACGCCGAACACATGGTCATCGTCAATGCCGGCCTGCGGATGACGTTCGGCGAATGGTACGATTTCGTAACGTTGTGCGTGCAAGACTTCCGGGAAGTAACGATACCGATCCCTATTGTCAAGCAATGCGGCGGCGGCGGCGGCGGCGGCTCGTCGATTGCAGCGGCTACGGAACCTTCGGAACACGCGACCACCGGTCGCCTGTCCATAGTGACCGCCATCAGGGCAACCGCGGTTGAAAAATACAGGGAATCTAATGTTGATGTTGCACACAGCCAGTGGGGTTCGTTGCACACCAACATATTGCATATAAGTGGCAACACGATGAGTCAACGGACCGTCACTAAACAGTCAACGCTTAATATTTAACCACTTTTAGTAATGGGAAAAAAGTTAATATTGTCATAATATAATGTAGCTATCGAAATAAGATAGAAAAACACTCCAATGTGTGATTTTTCCATGTCGTGGATATCTGTGGGTCCAGATCAGAGTTGGGCAATAACTATTATTTATTCGTATACCTAATCTCTTATTCGATACTATTTAAGATGATTTATTAAAATAAAAAATGTATATTCGAAAAAAAATATATATATATTTATATAACAATTATCTAAATAATGCCCAACTCTGCCCACGATATATTTTCAACCACATCGCCGTTTTATTTATATAGGTTATGCAATGCCAAAATGAAAGTTTTCCTCTCCTTTTTCCAAATTGAGAAAATCACTCTAACAGTTGTGTACATGTGTAACGACGACTTGAACAAATTATGGAATTAAATTATAGATTTTTAAAAATAGTTGAATTACTATTAAAACTCGTGTGGGACACTATTTAGACAAAGTATTACCAATATACAACATATATAAATAAGAGTACGTGTATATATTCTTTATAGGCACTTATTTCAAACAAAGTGGGCACATATTAAATTATATAAATCCTGGAAAGAAATCCCCTCATGGATGGAGGTGAGAACATGTAAGAATACTACCAAGAAAGTGTTAGTTGTCGAACCTACATTTGTTGTGGTCAATAAACTGATTAGCGATAAACCTGATGACACTTAAACCTATAGGGCGGAGATGGGAAGTTGGTGCCATGTAAAAATAATCGAAAACTACCAATACTAATTTCGTATCGAGTTCTATGTCCGAGGTAATCCCTGAAACTACTGGCTCAATTTCTAGGTAGATGGGATAAGAATGAGGATGGGATACTATTTTTATTGAAAGCCGAAGGAAGCCAGGTATAGTTCTCTTATTTTTACTTTCAGTTATAAGAATTCCAGAAGACCCGCGACTTCCCTGACCTCACTATGCCTCAACACCTAGTTTTTTTCCAACAGATATTTAGGATTTTAAAAAAATCTCCAATTAACTTTTTCAGTTAAAATAGTGAAACTATTTTTATTGCTATAAGTCAACAGGTAGTACACTTCAAAAAACAACGTGATTATTATGTAAAAGAGTAACATGTCATTTAAGAATCCAACATTTGCAGTGCTAATTCTTCATCTTCCATTAAACTCAAACCAGTGTCAACGGGTTCATCGACATCTTGTATTCTTCTTCGTTTTTTATCTGAATTAGAGGTCAATAGTTTTCGTTTACTAGGCCTGAAATAAATGAAAAATATTATTTTTTTAATTTTCAAAGGTTTTATTGGAAACATATTGATATTATTATTATGTCCGTTACAAACATGTACGGCACGTCAGCCAGTTCGTATGTGTGTATGGAAAAATTTGCTACCGCACATGTTAAGTGTGAAATGATCATTTACATACCTGTGTAATTGGGATACTTCTTCATCGTCAGACTCTTCAACGCTAACGTCAGAACCTGACTGAGAATCGTGCTCGGATTCATTTTCATCAGATTCAGCACTATCCCGTTTTCCGTAAACTTTATCAGGATCGGGTAACCAAGATAGATCGACGGATGCCTCGTCACTTGAACTCGCGTCTTCCATCTCAGCTCTTTTGGCTTCTTCTTTGGCCTTTCGCTTCTCTTCTCTATGTTTGGCTTTCACCTTTTCTCTAAACAATTGCTTATCAAATACGTCTTCCTCTCGCAACATTTGTTTTGCTTCTTCTATATTAATACCGCCGAAATTGTTACTGTTCTCATACTCCCTGGCTAATTGTGATACTTTAGTTTTAGCTCCATCTAACACAGCCTGTAAACATTAATTTTAATCAACCCACACATAGCAGTACTTAAGGTGGAATCTTAGTTTACCTCTCCTGTTTCGTCAAAGACCGTTTTTTGATTCGGCTTTATTAGTTTTTTGATCATCTTTTTTGCAACTGCTGCTTTTGTTAATGGCTTTTTTTTCTTTTTATTAGTGTCATTTAACAATTCCAAATCAATGTTTTCTTCTAGACTGTCAGCTTCGGGAATATTGTGATCTTTACGTTTAATAGTAAGGAGTTCATCGTTTTCTTCTTCACTGTTATCATCTAATGAAAAATATTGATTAGTTTTTTTTTTTATTATTATTATTATTTAATTTTAAAAACTTTTACCCTCATGAAATTTATAAGAATCTTTGCGATAAGAGTGATCTGACTCGGGCTCTTCTTCTGAATAATCTGAATTATTCAACTGTTCGTTTAGACTTGTTGCTAATGTATGATCTTCCAACTCTTTAGCTTTAACTTTAGCTTCTCTAGATTTTTTCCATTTTTGTAAAAACCGCACACGTGGTGGAATCGCCAAACCTAATGACCTTTATTGCAAACATAACTGTTTAGTTTTGATTTTAACCGATTTTTGTGAAAATTATAAAAATATGTAACTCACCTTGCAAACGCATCGGTGTCCAAAGCTTCTACATTAAATACACTTTTATCTTTCATCAAAAAAACCGATTTTATATAAGCTACAAAGGCTCGCTGGGCTGACTCTTTGAGAATATGATCTTTCGCTAAAGTTGCTTCTAGTGTCCGTTGAATTGATATTAATTTGTTTGGGTTAGCTCTAAAAAAATATATCTATAGTAATAATAAATAAATTCATACTTTTTTTTTAATTAAATTTACTTGATTTCTTTTATTGGAATCTTTTTATTTTCTAACTGGTCTAAAATAGCAATTTCGGATGGCAAAAGAACTAGTAAAGCTTCGCCAGACTTTTGGAATCTAGCTGTTCTGCCAGCTCGATGAATATACTCGTTAGCGTTTTCCGGACAATCTAACTGAACAACCCAATTCACAGCGGGAAAGTCTAGAAAAAATACATAGATGTTATGTAAAAAAATGTTTTAAATGTTAAGATTAATAATATAGGTGTTATATCTTTTTACCAAGCCCTCGAGCCGCAATATCTGTAGCAAAGAGTACTGCACGTGATTTCCTGCAAAAAGACTCATAAACAGCCATTCTTTTTGTTTGGTGCATTGTGCCATACAACGCCAAGAGACTAGTTCCTGGTCGAAGTTTACAAAGGATTTCATAGAAATATTTTATCTAAATAAATTGATAAGAGTTATAATTAGACTAATATCCCCAACTGATTAATTCGGCATGAGTAAATTACTTGTTTACAGCTCGACATAAACACGAGGACTTTGTGGTGTAAATGATTTTTGATGAATGACCACAACAAACTCATTTTGTCGTGTAGTTCGCAAACCATATAGCTTTGTACTAAACCGGCTGGTGTACTATGCTCGGACGTTTCATGTACATTAATGAAATGAGGATTGCTCAAACTGAGTCTTGCTAAATCACGTACAGATCTAAAAAATTGTATCGATTAAAATAATAAATTAGCATTTTATAATTATTCAATAAATTTACTTGGTTTGAGTAGCGGAAAACAGAATAGTCTGTCTTTCGGGCGGCAAGTTTTCAATAATGCCGTTCATAGTACTTTCAAAACCCATATCTAAACAACGATCGGCTTCGTCCAACACCAACACCAACATGTTAGAACAATCAAACAAAGGATTCTCATCCATGTGTTGTAGTAGACGGCCCGGAGTGCAAATCATTATATTACACTGATCGAGACGTTTACGCTCAAACTTCAGGTCTTTACCGCCTGTATTTAAATATTTAATTGTTAAAACAATTTACTAAATTATATAATAATTAGTAACATAGTAGATATAACTTGCCAATTATCAAACCAGCTGAAAAATCATGATGGATACCAATTTTACGGAGAGTTTCGAAGATTTGATATGCCAACTCTCTTGTTGGTGTTATTATAATTGCCGCTAGACCTTCCGCACGTGTCCATTTATTACAGTATAACAACTCCAAAACCTTTTTAAAAAAAAATCAACAGTTATCCATTAAAGATTGATTGAAGATTAATAATTATTTTGTTTAATAAACACTAATTAACTTACCGGTATTAAAAATGCTAGCGTTTTCCCACTACCCGTCTTTGCCGCTCCTAAAATATCTTCACCTCGTAAACTGTAGCCAATACTCTCACGTTGTATTTCAGTAGGTACGTAATACTTGTTTTCTTTTAAACCTTTCAATGTAGGAGCGGACAAAGGGAAATCTTCAAATTTTTCTATCGCACTTGGATCAATCTATAGAGAAACAAATGTTATTCATTCGTTTTTTTTTTTGTTTTTAATACAATATAATAAAACGCCGTTTAAACGAAGTGTACGAATTAACATTAATTTTAACCTTTTCGTAGTCCTTTTTGAGATTTTCAATAACCACGTCGATGGATTCCTTTTTCTTTCTTGCTCTGAACACCTTGATTTTACGTTTCTTATAGACCATTTTAAGTTCACCGAATCACGCCACTTGCGCTGTTAGATATTATAATATTATGTTCCGCAATAATATTCTTATAAAAGAAAGTTCAAATTTTTATTTTATGTATATAATATATTTTCAATTGGAATTGGAATTATTAGAACACGTGATGAATAGAGATAGTATATTATAATATGTTCATGATAGAGATTACAAAGTGATAGTAATATTATGTTTTTATTGATTAAAAAGATTCGTTATTCAGGTTTTCCTCCTAATCGAGAATCGGGATTGCACAACTGCAAACGTACAAACTGAATGTTTTGAAAACTTACTGATAAATACTTCTCAAGGTTTGATTTGTATTTTGTATCAATGCACGTCTGTAGATACAGGTTTTCATGATTACATTCATATGCCTAATAACTTGGCGGGGGAACGTGGAAAGGGTATTTACTATTTTATTAACTCTAATGTTTTCCTATTCTCAACTAAAATCTAGATAAGAAAAAAAAATTTAAAAATGTTTTACAAATGTTTAGAAAATAATTTGACAAGAGTATTTATAACTCGATAATTTTATTGAACACTTGTTTTTCATCATAATATAATTTTCATTAGTGCATTTTGTTGTTGCGATTTTACTAACAATAAGTAATAACAACAAACATGAATACCGAAGACACAATAATACATACAAATTCAATGGCATCCACAACAATACCAATATCATCACCAACGTCAACAGGAATAATCAACACAGAGTCAGCTGAATCAATAGCTTCGAATAACATCATTGCGTCTACGACCGAAAACAACATAAATGTCACGCCAATGGAGACAAATGATGGAATACGATTAGTGGTAACTAACATTTAGGCTACCCATTCATCTTCAAAAAATAACAATAAATTTAATGGAATTTTATTTAGCCTCAACTACAACCACAGACTCGACCCCAGTCTCAGCCTCAACCATTGTCTGAACTTCAATCTCAGCCTATGGAAACTGAACCTACAGCTATGCCTACTCCTTCTGTACCAACTGTAACTCCCCTGTCTACGATTACACCAACAACATCTCCTATGCCGAATAAGCCCACATTTTCCCAAACGACTAGCCAACAACAAAATGATACCAAACAACCAACAGTTGTTAAAAATGTGAACAGTTTAGATACTGCTGCAGTAAGTATTATCATTGTTTAAGTATGTTATTTCTTAAAAGTTATATTAATAATGTACCTACTATTATTCAATCACGACGCAGGCGTGACTAATGTATCGCAGCTTGAGCAGTATTATTTACTATGTATCAGATTTCTACTTATACAAATTGTTTCTTATAAGAATATTTATTATTATTAGATAAGACTATGAATACTATGTTCATTAGCTGATGAATTATTTGCAAATGCTTTTATATCATATTAAAATGTCACAGTGAATAAAATTTTACTAAATATAGTGTTTGTTTATAAAACCCATAATTACATGTTTGCCAAATATATTAGAAATTATTGTAACATGATTTATTATATTATTCTAGCTATTAACGAAAACTAGATTACGTGAACTTGTAAAAGAAGTTGACCCTAATGAACAATTAGAAGAAGACGTAGAAGATCTATTATTGCAACTGTCCGATGACTTTGTCGATGAATTAGTCAAAGCCGCTTGTGCTTTTGCCAAACATAGAAAATCAAATATGATTGAAGTAAAAGACGTTCAATTATATTTAGGTATGAACTATTAAAATATAGCAAATTAAGTGTGGTAATTGTAAACGAATAGGGCAAACTTACATGCATTTGTTTTAACAAACAATTATTGATGTTTTGTTTTAATCGTACAATACATTAACTTAATATGCAAAGCTTAGAATAATAATTTTCAAGTCGATTACTTTATTTAAATATTCACAGCTTCTATTTGTTTACAGTTGACCCGCTTGACCCTTTATATGATCCTATCATATTTAAATAATTAGTCAATAATAATTTTTTAATATTTTTTTTCTAATATTCAGAGCGGTATTTAAATATGTGGATACCTGGTTTTGGTACAGACGAATTAAGAGCTTACAAGAAAGCACCAATCACCGAAGCACACAAACAACGAACTGCGCTCATTAAAAAAGTAGCAAATAAAAAATACTAAAATTAATATAGAAAAATTATTTCATAATAAAAAATTTTAAAATTAAAGACTTTGTTATTTATGTTATAAATGATCAAAATCAATATATTTAAATTAATAAATTAATTTAAAAAACATCAAAAACGATTGTACCTTATAATTATTAAGAATATCTATATTTTTTTACTAAAATTTAATGTGAATAAATTAGAAATTGGCCGTGTAGCTCAAAAAAAATTGTTTAAAACAGTATTTGGTGCTGAAATTGATTGCAAGTTCTAAAAATAAATATATTTTCATAAAAACTATTCAGCTACTTTTTTAGTATTGCTCTTTATAAATAAAATAAAAAATATTTAACATTATGACTCGTTAACAAACTTATTTATTTGAATTGACTTACAACTTTATTGAGAGTCAGGTACTGATAAAATGAAACTATTAAAATTGGCTAACATTAAAAACTAAAGGTTTTTAAAGTCGCACTATCTTAAATGTTTTTATTTGCTTTAAATTTTGAATAATAAAGTATATTGACAAAATTGTTTGAAAGTAGAGGTATGATAGACAAATTTTACTCTCAAAATGTACTATCTTTAAAGGTGATAAGTACTAAATAGTTATTTAGTTATTTAAGTATAAAATATCATGTATCCTAATAGGTACTACACTTTGTACACCAGAATTATTGGATGTCAAAAAGATACATTACCCATTTCCTTTATTTTCATAGTTATATCAAAAAAGATACAATTCCCTAATAGTAAAATACTCTAAATTTTATAAAAAATAATAAATGATTAGATATATTTTTATTAGTTTTATTAAAGTAAGTACTTATTATTTTATTACGGTAAATAAAATGCCTATTTTTTTAAATACTAGTGCATTTTTAACTTATTTTCTTTTTAAGAAATTTCCTATCAAACAATTTTTCTTAATAAATATAAATAAACATATTATATACATAGTTAATAGAATATTATACTCATATTATTTTGTTTTTTATCTTAATAGGTCGATGAGGTAGTATATTATAAGATAAAAACGGCAAATTAGCTATAGTGGTGCAGTGTATCTTTAAAGATACAGCTATTAAATTAGTCATTGGAGTGTTGTATGTTAAAAGATACACACTATAGTTGAAAAACTGTTTATTAAAAATAAAAAAATGAATTATACAGTTCTTAGTTAGTAAAAATAATGGTTTAGAATTTTCGTGTGAATTTTTATTTCTGCCAAGTTTAGGGTTATCGCAAAAAGATTAAAATCATACTCATGTACAAATTTATTGGTTTGAAAAAAAAACAATGGATATTATATTGCTTACACATTTTATAAAAGCCATACCACACTATCTGATTTGAATATTATAAGAGTACCTATAAAAATGCATAACATTCAAAAGTCAAAATTTATAAAAATAAATAGCAGCTATTGCACTGAACAAAATATGTATTTTTATTTTCAATTCTAGCTGTATGTGTATTTAAATGTTATTTAGCTTCAATGCAATAGCTGAGAAGATATTGTCAAGATGTGTTACGATATATTTTTCCTGTGGACTGATTTACTCAAGTAGCGTCTCTATAGATCCGAATCATTAACATGTAGACATGAAAAAACATTTTTAAATTGCTTTCAAGGATGCTGTAATAGTCCAAAAAATAAATTAAATACCAAAATAGAGTCTTAGTTATTGAACTAATACTTACACATCACAGTTTAACCTTTAAATTAAGATTTTGTAAAAAATTGCCTATACTTTACTCCTTAAAAATGGGCGGTGAGACGCCCTCTTAAAACATCAAGTTTCTGGCTAATATTGTAGTTTTTAAAATCTGACTTAAAACAGTTCATAGAGAATTTGGGCCCTTAAACTATTTTGAATTTATCATTTAGTAGTTAGTACTAATTTGAACGATGAACGTACAACATATCTTTTATCTCTTATCAGATAACAGCGTAACGCTTTTTTGATAACACTTTTTCCGATTATGTGCCAGAGCTAATTTCAACCCCATTCTTACCCCCACGTCCAATCCCATTCCCAACCCTTATCCCATTCTTTGGTAACGAGTTTTTGCGTGTATGTGCCAGAGAAAATGTCAAAATGTTGAAAAATGTCAAAACACGAATTTACAATAATTGTATATAATTAGCTATTTTACTATAAACTGTTTAATTTTTATAAATCAATACACCTACTATCAGAGATGGGCAAAATAGTTAACAAAATGCATTTCAAATGCAAAATGGCATTTAAAATCAGGGAGTAAAAACGTGTAAAGAAAATGTATAGAAACGTTTTTACTGTTTAAAATAGTCAAAATAAACACAAAATTTATTTATTTTTTTTTTTTAGTTATAAATCCGTAGATTTGTTTGTTGCAGCTCTCCATGCTTCCCTATCGTAGCACAATTCTTTCAGGTCTTTGTAATTTCCTTTATTCGTACACTGCATTATCTGTGTCATGTATTCTGCCCTTGGTCTTCCTCTTGCAATGTGTCCTTCAACATGTCCTTCAATTATTTTCTTTAGTCAACTTTCATGCCTTAATATGTGTCCTTCAACATCTCCTTCAATTATTTTCTTTAGTCAACTTTCATGCCTTAATATGTGTCCTATCATCTGTATACATAAAATTATTTTCTGATAACTTTTTGTTCTGGCTAAAGACAAATAATTATAGCTTACTAATAGTATCTTTGGTAATTAATTGCTTTTGTATTGTGATATTTAAAAATTTTATTACATTAAATTTATAATAATGTTGTTATTGTAACATTCATATTTTTGTTAAAAGTACACGTATGTATCTGGTGTCTGTCTGCGATAATCTACAATATATTATACAATTTCAAGGTATAATAAATGTTTTAAAAAAGAATAATATAACATATTATCTAAAAAGTAAAAACTACAATTGACATCTTAAACCAGACACTTTTTACATAGTTAACAAATACATGGCGTTAGTTGGTCTGTTATAAAATACAAAAATACCAATAAAACATATTAAGATTTTAACATTTTGAAATTTTGAAATCAGTTATCAGTTTTTTTTTTATTTTTCCATTATTTTGGAATTTTTTACATATCCCTTTCTCAATTCATGTAGTACTATTTAGGCTCGTTTATTTATTTATTTTTCATCTATTGAATTTCAATAAATATTATTTTAAAATGATTTACTGTTACAATTTTTACATACAAAAATGTAGGTATTAAATTTCACAATGTGCACAGTAAATATATTTTGTAGCGTCAACCTAGCAAGACATATTTTTTTATTTGTGCATCATCAGTCGTCGCAGCTGTATCGCAAAAAAAAAAAGTTTAACGTCTAGTAACAGTTTAGTTTACAGTAAAAATACAGTTTATTTTATACATACAGGGTACTCAATATCTCACTGGGTTTAATAAGAAATTGTATTTTTTCTTTACTTATTGTTTTTATGCAATGTGATCTCAATTTTTCACCACTTGTTTTGTTGCTTATTATGCCTTGTAACATAGATTGTAAATACTCTTTAAATAAATAAAAAAAAGTAATAAATATCAAAAAAAGATTCAAATATAAATTGTTTGTAACTGCATTAAATTTTCGGCAAATAATTCTTTAGTTAAATTGTTAATCAAATATACATGTTACCATTTAAGTTTCAAAAATTGATAGGGCTCAAATGCAGATGTCAAATGACTGTAGGAATCGTTTTAACTAAAAATGATAAAATCAAATTCATATAATACATAGCTTTATATGTATATATAAAAGCATTACTAACAATGTACTTAAAATTGAATTTTTAGTATTATGGTGGAAACGATTAGGGTTGGTCGTCTATCTATATAATAATTTGCCGACGTTGTAAGTAACCCATATATGGTAATAAACAATACAATTATAATTTTCAGCTCTGAAACCCCAAAATTGCGTTTAAAAATAAAACAATTTCGACTCGATCTGACCATTTTTTTGCCACGTTCTAGCAAGTCTAAGTTGATAAATGTTTTTTCGGTTTTTCGCAGTTTTGGGGGGCTGGAGGAGTTGACTTTTTCTACTATTGATCCATTTCAAGTACCGATTTTATACGGATGCGGATCGATAGAGTTGCTACTCGAGTAAATCTTTATTTTCGTGCGTTCTATAGCGAATAAGTCATATCAGTGCATCGTTATTTTATTTTATGCAAATATGTACCTTTCACGATATCAAACGTTTAGATACGTGTATAGTTTAAATTCGAGTACACGACAAACGCCTGACTGAATTCAACTGTACATAGTTCGACTTTAGTAAAGGTTTTTTGTGTTACACGTAAGCTGATTCCGGATAGATATTAAACAAAAAATATGCATTTTAAAATTGTTGTTCTTTTCTGTGCGTTAAACTTCTTAACGACAACACGGGTAAGAAAAACTGCACACTTAATATTAAACAAAGCCATTTACGGGTACTTTTTTTATTACCTAAATTGTGTATAAAATATTTTACAGAGCTTTGGATTACACCAAAGCCATATAAAGGGATTAGTTAATCTGTTTGTAACCACGAATGATGTTAATAATGAAAATTATTACGATATGATCGATGAGTATTTTATATTTTGGGCGGGCATTACAGATGATGTTCAAGTACACGCACTGAAAAAAAGTAATTTTCTAATTATATACCTCATACTAATAATTGGCGAGCCTCAAATACTAAAATTTGAGCTTCTTATATTGAGATTAGTAAGAGATAAATGATGATGATTTTATAAAAGTGATTTAACAAATAGCATTGAACTCCTAACAAGGCTCTCGATGAGAATAATTATTCTGTTTCGCCATATTTTACAACTTCGGTGTTATACTCTTATTAAAAACATTATAATATTATTAATTTGTTTGTAAAAAATGTATCACTAATTTGCTTAAATTACCAATATATATTTTGTATAGCATTGGACGATGATATAACCATGACGGAGTTTTTGATATTGCTGGCCTATAATAAAAAAGAATTATTCACCTGGATGGTATTACCGAAATAATAAATCTTTCGCTTTCTGGACATACCTGAATGTATTTAAAAATACAAAATTTATAAATTTATAATACCGTTTTGTTCTCTTGTATTTGTTATACATAGGAAATAAGTTTATCGACTTATGAAGTAGAGCTTTTCGTAAGAATGTTCAATGCACAAGACACATTAGGTGAAAGTGACGCACTCCTCACCCAAGATGAATTCAATGACCTAATTGACAACGGTTTTAATCTAAAAGCAGACGTTAAGGAGCTAATAAAAAATGAATATAAAGGTAGTTATAATATGTTTAAGAGGTGGTTAGTTTAATAAACTTAAGAATTTCAATTCATGTTTAGGTGAAAATACAATTCACGTTTTACAATTCTTGGCGGCAATGTTAAAATATAAAAAAATGGTAAGAAAACCCTTTAGTTAACATTTTTGAAGTAATTCTTATTAATTTATCAATTTACCGAGACGTAAAAACTTATTAATACCACAATAATATGATAAATATAATATATTATTATGATAATGAATATATATAATTAATATTAACATTTAGGGCAAAGGTTTGAACAATGCACAATTAAACAAATGCTACGCTTTATATACCAACAGTTCTAACGGCTTCTTGGATTCTCACAAACGACGAAAGTTATTAGAAACGTTAAACATTGTTTCCGATGAGTACGTTGAGCTGCTGGATTTCAAGAACGTGTGTAAGCATAAAATAATAATAATATTGCGTAATTAATTCAATATAATAATTATAAGTGTAATTTGATGAAAACATTACATTCGATAATTTGTTAATTAAGACCCCGCCGCTCAAGAGTTAAAAGTGCTCTTAGTCCTTTGGTCGGAATATAATGAAGACGTCGATGTTACTTCTGATAGTGTAAGTACCGTTGTTGCGATATTATGTTGTGTTTTTATTGAATTTTTCGGATTTTACAAGCCGTATACGTTACCAATGGAAGTTTATATACTAAAGATAGTGGCACTGCTGTGCAGGTATCCTTTTTAACTACGGAGGAAGTTTGGCTTGGCATATGTGACTTCACTCAATATGACGATAACGGAGATGGATTACTCAGCTCTTTGGAATTTTATTACTTCGCAACTGATTTCTTCTCCGAGTCAGAAGCCTATATACTGAAAACTATAATTGAGACATTTAATCCCTATGGTAATTTACTAAATAACTGCAACGATAATTGTTACCTTTTGACTAAAAACTAATATTCTTCTAATTTTAGAGCATCCTATGTGCGCTGCAAGGTTCTTGAGCATGAAATTGTTGAAGAAACACATGCAAACCCAAAAACATTAAAAATTATTTGTCTAACTACGATTAATATTTATTTCATCCTACTGTACTTGATTGTAGTTATGTTATGATATATAATAGTCTTTATTATATTAATAAATATATTATATAAGATGTCAAATAAAATGTCAAATTTAACATAAATACAATTTAATAGTTATTAGTTATTAGTTATTACTTATTACAGATACCTTCTCAGCTCCGCATCGAAGCTATAAATTATAAATTTTATAATTATAATAATATAATATAATTATTATAAATATTATTTGTGTGCAGTCATGCTCTTGGACAGTACGATATAGTTAATTACAAACTTATTTTAATTTATTTTATTTTATCTAGGTATTTAGCTAGAAAAATAAATAAATATCAAATTATTGTAAATTCGTATGTTTAATATCAGAATAGGTATGCGTATGAGCATTTAATAGTTGACAAAAGTTTACTGTAAACTATTTAAGAAGATGTACACATAACTGATAACACAATAATAACAAGTGTGATTATTAATTTTTATTAATTAATATATTATCAGAGATGGGCAAAATAGTTACCAAAATGCATTTCAAAATGCAAAATTGCATTTAAAAACAGGGAGTAAAAACGTGTAAAGAAATTTCCGAAATTTTATTCGTGTAAAGAAACGTTTTTTCAAACCGTTTTCAAAAACGTTTTTACTCCCAGCTTATAATAGTCAAAATAAACACAAATTGTATAAGTAAAAATAAAAATTGTTTTTTCAAAGTATTTAATTTGGTTACATTATCTAACCGTTCCTGTTGACTCCGGACCACACGTACACAGACACTTATTAACCCGTTTAGGGGGGGGGGGGAGCAGTGTTGACACACAGAGATGACGGCTAGCGCGTCATCCCATTGTTACACGAGTTGATAACTACCATCCGTGCTAACACATTTCGCAACGACCTTGTGTTCTAATTCGCGCACCCGCCTACTGCCGTACGCAGACCCGGACTCGGGTCAGAGTGTAAATATTTGTATATGTATTTTATGCACGTACTATAACCTTATTTTATTTAGTAACTTTAATAAACACCTTGTAGCTTGCACTCGAGAGTCGACAACCTTATTGGCGTGACCGCCCGTTTAAGCCCTTCGGGCGATATATTAAGTTTTAAAAGGGGCTTTAAGGTTATTACGTGTAGCACACGGCTTAGCCAACCGTTTCCCGTGCCAGGGATCCACGTCCTTAGCCTTATCGACGACCACTGCCCCTTAACCAGACAGTAGGTACGTTACAAAAGATAAAAATATAAAATGCAATTTTGTACTTTTAAATTAGGGGATGGTGGTGGAATGGCGGACATCTAAGCAAGAGTTAAAATATCTTCGGAACTATATAAGTCCAGAAGTTTCGTTTATTCTTAAAATCGAACTATTGAGTTTTTTTTTGGACAAATATTCCAACAAATCACTTAACTGGTTGGAAAAAAAATGTTTATCATTTTGAACATCTGGTTAAGTAGTATTATTTTAATACAAATATTATTACATATCAAATATAATATATTTCATTAATGTTTCATTCTATATTGTATATTCGGTAGGTATTCATTACATTTAAACAATTTTTAAATTACTTTTAAATTAACAACATATTTTGTTTTAAAATCTAAACTTATTTTAAAATGAATGATGGGAAACATATTTTTTTTATTTTGAATATTTATTCATTATTTTTTTTATTATTATATTGGTATTAGTTATTACCAAATTTTTGGTAGCTAAATATGTTCCTTTGAAGTTTTCTAAATAAAAACAAAAATGTTTGTCTATATTTTTGTTTGTTAAATTTTAAATAATATCTTAAACTAAGATATTATTTAAAATTATAGTATAACTAAGATTCTTAGTTATACTATTTACATAGTTATTGTCCCATGATGAATTTAAAATAAATGACCATACATGGGGTATATGCTGTGTCTCTACAATAAGGCGGCTATCACAAAAGAGCAGTATAGGCAATGAGCAACTAGCAATCGGTAAGTAATAGTAAGTAATTAACTGGCAATATTATCACTTATTGCCGACTGCTAGTTGCTCATTGTCTATTGCTCTGGTGCGAGAGCCGTGGAAGAGACAATTGGGCAAATAGGACACTATTTTTGGAATTTGGTACAGGCTTAAACCAGCGGTTGTTAGATTTTATTTATGTTCCTTTTGTATTAAGCAAGTGATAAGGAGTAGGACCATTCCACGGCCAGTGACTGCTCGATGGTCTGACTGAACAGGTTTTTGAATGAGGCATACGACAGAATTTGCCACAATGTAGATATTACTACTTTGATAGGCTGACTTTTAGGCATTGAACTTGGCCTTTTTTTCACGGTTAGCTTTTTGTTGGGCACTTGCTATTTTTTGTTTATACTCAGGTCGTGCCACAACAGTGGTGGTAGATTATTTATATTTTACTGACGAAAATTAACACTAGTATAGAGTATAGACAGAGTTAAATGATATTATTAGGATTATTAAATTATTCTGTATTCGATGATCGATAAAATATGATGTATTATAAATACCATCTCTCTCAAACGGCACTAATTTTGATAACATTGCAATTTTAAGATTTTTTCCTTTACTTACACTATAAGAACTACCTTTTTCCCAAATATCATATTTTTATCTATAGAAAAGTGCCTTACAATTTTTATGATCAGTGAGCCAGTAACGAAAATGCAAACTTTAAAGTTCTCCCTTTTTGAAATGGCATAATATTAAGGGGTTAATTTTGTACAGCGTTCTAAGTCCCTTAAGCTTAAACTACGTTTCAAATTTCAAACGCTCATCATAAGAGGAAGCAGAGATATAAGAGTTAGAAAAACCTCACTCGACAGGCCAACGCGCATAAATTATTATATTTTTGGCAATCGGTGGATAATATTTCGCTTGTATTATTTCTTTGTTGCTTGCCTGTCGACGAGCACCAGATACAAAGATGTACATTGTACATACATCTTATCTTATGTTGAAGACCCGTGTGTACAAGATTTTTGACTAGGATGGACGTACAGTGTGATGTACTAATAAAATCGTGTGTGTTTAGGTTTGGCTTAAGCTGTGTAATTGAGCCTTTTCGCGATAGAAATGTAAATAGCGGCCGTATTGTTTAGCAAACGTGACTAAAATAGTATCCAAGCAAAAATAAAAAATGTTAAAAATTAAAACTGGGCTTAGAAATTAGGGAAAATGCCGCTTGAATCCACACTAAATATTACCTATCGTGTTCACCCTTAGCTAAGCATACAAAACCCACCTACTTTTCCCTTCTGTATCTGTCACCGCCTCCCTCTCTCCACTCTTTCCCATCCTTTCAGCCCCTCCCTCTCATCGAACAGATGATTTACTTGAAGTGTTTCTACAAGAACGACCATATTATATTATGTTCATTGACATTTTGCTAATTATAATTATGATTTTCCATTTGGATTGGATTCAATTTTAACGAAGCAATACATTTTTCAAATTTTTATGGGGGCCTGTTGGTAACAGGATTACCCTTCCTAATTAATTTTATGTATATTTTTTTTGTTACAGTATATATTATACATATATATATATATATATATATATATTTTTTACACACAAACCAATTAACTATTGATCTTGTAAATTATTTCTACAATGGATTGGTAAAATTCGAACACATGTGTTTGTTTTTATTTAGAAAACCCCCACAAAACAAGGGGGAAATTACCCTTGTAAATGTCTAGCTTGATCCACGTAAGTGCCAATCAACAGTCAATAGGTATTTGAAAATAGTTTTATTTGAGAAATTTGGGTAAAAACGCCAATAAATAATAATATTGACGGACCCTAACCGTATCCACACTAATGCAAACAATTAAATTTTAGTTCCTTTTTGGCTTTTACAATGTCGTTATCGATTGGTTAAGTAGGATTTTTGGATTGTATGTACAAACAAAAAATAAAATTAAAACTTTTAACTTTACCGGGTAGTCGGAGGGGGGTATAACATTTTGGGGTTTGATACAGTATCATATTATAAGGACATGTCCATACATTTTTCCGGGGTAAACTCTATAGGAATAATTATAAGTAATTGAAAATGATAAAATCACTGGCTCTATAATATTTCACAAACCGGGACGGTCGCTAGTCAACGCTATACAACTAACACTTTATAGCACTTTCAGTATTTCTTATAAAAAGTGGAAATCTTTTTTTGTTTTCTTTAGTAAAAACTTTATTTTACACGCACAATGTTCAACAAAGTTGTAAGTTCATGCCTGTTGGTAGCGGTACCCGTGCTGTGCGCGGTTGGGTATTGTATATACTTCGACCATACTAGAAGAAATCACCCAGATTTCAAGAAAAACCTAAGAGAAAAACGTCAAAAGGCGAAGAATCAATCGATCCGGACGAGCTTTTTAGCTGAGCAAAGACAATTGTTGGATACGGCTAAGTTAAAAATACAAATCACCGGCCGAACCTATTTCTTTACCACAAAATCAAGCTTGCGTTTTGTGTGGTAAAAAAAAAATAACAGAACGTCGACAACCTGCTGCCAATGTGGTAATTACGTTTGTAAAAAACACTCATCCAAAACTGCGGTCTAACTCGTGTGTGCAACCAAAAAGTGACCAAGATAGCTTTGAGGGCGTATAACTTATTTACTTTTTCCCCACTCGTATATAAGTCATTTACTTGTAACAAGAGTCTCTTATTTTAATTATTCACAAGAAAGTGATATTTATATATTTCCTATAACTTAAGAATGCGCGCATGCTCGAAAGTTAAGTATTTCGTTTTTTGATCATTTACTTGTAGTCCAATCTCTTTCCCCTTACATATTAACTTTTCGGCCGTCCGTATTACACCTTCTTCAGTTTCTCCTATAAATATTATGTCATCTGCGTATGCTGCTCATGTTATTTGATGAACTTCTCCTATGGTTAGACAGTTGATTAAATACATACTATTTGATCAACTGTCGATTTCCCTGGCATGAATCCTGACTGATATTTTCCTACTTTTTCCTTTGAGTATGGTTTGATTCGGTTCAACATTATGTTTGATACTATTTTGTAAGATGTGTTTAGTAGGGAT